CTCCCCTGCTGCGCCGCCGGCTCGCCTCGGGCAGGGGGGAGCAGGGGACCCCTGCCCGGGGGGCGACAGCCTCCTCCGCCGCATCAGCCCCTCCCCGGGGTCCGGCCAGGCACACACACGCACATTTACACCACCACACACACGCACACACTCAGGCACACGCGCGCAGACACCACGGACATAGAAACATACACACGCAGACACACTGACACGGACATATACGCAATCACACACACGCGCAGACACCACCGACACAGACCCCCCCCCCCCCGCCCCCCCCCCCCCCCCCCCCCTCCATCACACAGACACATACAGACACTGGCACGCACGTACACACAATCACACACACTCGAGAAACACACTCACAGACACACCGACACAGAAACACACACCAAATCACACCCTCACACACACAGGGGCACACACACGCGCATATACACAATCGCACGCACGCAAACGCACAGACACACCGACACACGCACACCCTCAGACACACGCACAGACACGCTGACACAGAAACACGCGCACACGCTCACCCCTGTACAGACACACTGGCACGCACATATACACACCCACACACACGCACAGACGCACCGACACAAACACGCACGCACACACTCAGACACACTCATATCCAGAATCATACACACGCTCAAGAAACACACACACAGATAGCCCGACGCAGAAGCACACACACACGATCTCAGACTCACACACACACAAACTGATACGCACATATACACAATCACACGCGCACAGACACACCGACACAGACACACGCAGCACCCGCCTCTGTCTAAAGCGGTTCCAGCTACTCCAGTGTCCCCCTCCCGCCTCGAGCCCAGCCCGCGGCGCACGGCCAGCCTCGGCCCTCCTCCAGCACAGGACCCCCGGGCTCACCTAGGGGCCTTCACAGCTACACCCTGCCCTAGCCAGCACAGCAGGGGCTCTACACTGCTGCTCCCACAGGGGTATGGGGAAGAAGGAAGGGGTGAAGTTTCCTAATTCCAGATGGGAAGGAAGGAAGGAAAGAAAGCAGCTCGAGGAGAGGAAACGGGGTAGCCTTCAATCCTGGAAGGCAAAACACACTGCTGCCAGGGTCTTTCCTGGCAGGACTATGAGAAACCCCCCCGCGTTTTGACGTCATTCAGGTGAACAATCCTAATGACTAATGATGACACAGGCAGGATCCAAGTCTCGGGTGCCCAACCTGCCAGTTACTCATAGCCGCTGGCAGG